ATTCAGGTAAACTGCTATCATTTTAAATGAAATATGTGCAGGAGGTAATGTTTTCTCTCGTTTACTTGACTCACCATAGCTACAAGAAGAAATTAAGGGGTGTAGTGGATTTTTATCGATAGATAAATATCCTTTTTATGGAATATCACACTAGGAAACACCGGAAAAGGCTTCTTCTGATGTTTTTTTTAAAATGGTAATTCTCGAACATAAAAAGAACGCAATAACAGTGATACAGACGTTAAAAGATAACTGAACTTACTAAGTTTGCAAATGAACTCGCCTTGATAAAACCAACGTGCTCAGTACCACTATTCCTCTTTCAATATTACCTGGGATAAAATAAATCCAACTTTAAAAGACCAGTGTCCACACAGCAAGAAATGTGCGATCCAGAATGAAAAATAAATACAGCCACTTGACTAGAATAATTTTAAAGACAATTCCAATATCAATGTTATATCCCAGAGAATTTAAAAGTCAATAAGCAAAAGTTCGTTTTAAAGGTGCAAAAAATTAATAGTTATCGATGGTAACGATGCTGTATTATACTTGTACAACGAAATACGTCGTTGCAGATTCAGTGAATTTGTATTTTAATTTAGTGAAATATTGGTTCATTTTCACCTCTGGCTCTACCGGAAAGAAGCGTTGTGAAAATATTTGGTTAAGTTTATTTCTTAACAGACATCTAGAAATGTAAATTTCTTGCGAGAACTAATGGATGATTTCATCTCATTTTTGATTAATGCTTTACCAGACTAGGAAATATATACATTTTTTCATGAAATCCGGCTTACCTTTAATGACACTTGAGACTCAGACCTCGCAATCGGCCAACTTCAAGATCTTAAACCGGTGCCTTAAAATTCTCTCTTTGGTTATTGGACGGTGCTGTTTCTTTTTAGCTCAAACAGAAATCCTTCGCTTTTTAACTGTTTCTTTTTGTACATTAAATATGTTTCGAAGTAAGTAATTCCCAGTCGGATTACCATAAAAGTGTTCACAAAAACTTAAAAAACCCCGAAAACAAAGAGCAGATGGAATGAGTAATGTGGCAATCTATGAAATGACCTGGCAACCTTTAATGACATGAAAAATTATTTAATCAGTTCCGGCGTGATGAATAAATGATCTAGTGCACTTATCGGTTACCATGTGTGCCAATTATTATTTACAAGTGGGGAATGCATCACTGACGACCATAACAGAGTTTGCACTATTCAGCTCCAAGGCAGGATTATAATTTGTTCTGTTTTTTTTATTTTAAAGAAGGAATTTTTTACTTTTAGTTTTACTGTGATTAATTCATATTTCATGAGCAAGACGAAAGGGTTGACGATAACTTCCGGGTGGAGGCATGTAGGAAAACTTCACATGTTGGTGTCCGCCTTGTCATTGGCTTTCATTGGTAAATGACTTAACAGTTAGCTGAAGGGACCAGCCAAGAAAAAGGTTTTCGATAATTTGTACAAAGAAAAGGGACGATTTTAAAATGATAGACGATGCATAATATATAGTCCAAAGGTCCATCCCCGATAATTGACAAATATCTGAGCTTTTAAAACTGTTCAGGTTAACATAGTATAAAACATTCTAGTGTTTAAACCTTGCCCACCCTCTGAGGTTCATAAACTCCACGGTTACCATTATGAAACACCACTGTGAGCTCATTGAAATCCAACATTAGGGTGAAATCTACATCGGGCTATGTGTCTTAACTTGCCGGAGCTTGTCCCTCTCCCCTCCCTGGATAGGATGCTAGCCTTGAACATCACCAGTGATACTAAATCTTATACTTTTTGTCACTTTTATTAATTTCTTAAAGCTCTGTTCAAGTTAGTTAGCTGATGGGAATGTTGAATGAGGACCGACAAGTCCACGGTCCTAATGACCTGACAACTCCTGAAGTGCTTGTACTATTTCTAATGGCACAATAAGGCTCAGAAAATCTTCTGGTACTACAACGGGGATTCCTAAGAAGGGAGGTTGGTCCCTGTGTAACATAGTTTTGGTGTACTGTTTAACGTGTCATAGGTAGACGTTTATCTCTCTTGATCCGAGTTCGGGCTGCATATTGACTTGTCGTATAAGGACCACTGAAGGAGATTTTGCTGTAGACAAAAGGTTAAAGGCAGTCGTTCGATTGTCTTGCTTTCTCATTTTCACTGTAACAAGGCTGAGGAAAGCTTTTCTGTATTCTCGGTTATATATAAAGTAAACCCAAGGATTGAAACAAGAGTTCGACATTGCGAGCATGTCAGTGAATTGATAGAAGCTTAAGGAGAGTGTAACAACATTGAATTCTTTCAAAATGAAAAACATTTCCGCCGGAAACCAACAAACTGTTAGTAAAAGTGCAGTCAAAGCGCACATGCGAATCAGCTTCTGTTTGGCGCGCTCGTAATTACTCAAGCGTGTACGATGATGAACCATGGTACTACGTACGTGAAACCACACATGTGCAAATGTAACCCAAGTAACGATACTTGGAACAAAGAAAGTCGCTAAGATGTGCAACAGTGTCAGTATCTTTTCGGTTTTCACGCTGTAAGGAGGAGAGCTTCGTGCGCAGATCCCGTGAGAATTTTTCATGATAAAGAGTTCATTGATCTGTGTAAAGCAGCTGAAGGCCCATATAATGGCGATGTACAACAGCAACCTTCCTCTCTTGAAAGCGTATTTGTACTTTACTGGTTTCACAACTGAAAACCACCGTTCAATAGCTAGACACATTATCGTCAAGGTAGAACCTTTTCCAAACACGAACAGAAAATACGTAGAGCCAATCAGCCGGCAAAACAACTCACCAGCAATGTTGTCATCCACATAATAATACCTTTGTCCAAGAACATAGCTTGGTGTCACTGTTATAAAAATTCCTGCAAGTAAAACACGTATAATATAAACATTAACAGAAAGTCATGCTATTCGGCTGCGTTTTCAGTAAGATAGTGATATCTCTCAAAGCCTGTTTACTGCCCTCATGTAAGAAAAAAGAAAATTAGGCCCCAGATTGAGTGTTAGTCATGTGACCTATATAAGCTTGTCAGTTTCCAAAACATGTGTTATAAGAATGAAATCACCCACGTAAATAACACCGAAGTACTCTATGAGCAAACCCGTGATTCAATTGACGATTGACATCAGCTAACCTAGGGGTGATATGGAATTACTCTTTTCGTTAAAAAACAGTTCTGCTGGAAAGAGGAAAAATTACATTGAACAATAACCAAAGCTTCTTTAATTGAAACAAGAAGCTATTTCTCAGAAAGAAATAGTGTTTCGTTTACGGAAAGGTGTTCAAAGTCTGAAAAAGGCTGGGGTTTTAATATGTTGGGCATGAGAAGTCCTGGGGTGAGGGGGATATCTGCTAATGCGCCGCTTTGCACCGCACTGATCTGTTCAGTTGCCAGTGCCTGGGGTTTTTCGCCCAGGTGATGTTTAGTACTGAACCTATTGTAGAAGAGAAGGGGCTGATTAATTTAAGTTGTCTACACGTGTATCAGTTAGTACAGTGCGCGCGCTTCGAAATGGATTTACTTGTGATACTTTACTTTGACTGTGCCCTAGGGCAGGGGCGGGGGGGGGGGCTCCCTTATATCGGCTATATGGTATGTTCAGCATCAGAGGGACATGTTTTTTTAAGACATTTTAGTCAGAAGTAGACTATCGATTTTGGTCATTTTGGTTTCAAACTGGGTATGGTTTTTGCACTTTAGTCTTGAATTAGGTACGTTTTTTAGAAGAAGCTTCTTTTTTCATCATTATTGATAGGACCAGCAACTANCAAAAATCGTTGGCCCGGAGTTCGGGTACGATATGACGTACATTCGACAAAAATTTGCAAGGGTGGATACTCCTTGACTTGAACGTGTGATCAATTTGATAAACTTAAACCAGAAAATGTATAAATTTATATTTTATAATTTATCTTGTAAACTCTGTTGAACGCGCTACTGTGTAGTTTTTGTGCTGTTTGTCTTTTAGCGAAACTTGAAATAATGCCAGAATTTTAAACAAACCCATGGTGCGATGGGATTTTCCTCCAAAAAAAAAAAATTTTAATGTGAATGCCTTTTACAAAGGCTAAAAAAGAGTAGAAAATTTCCCAAAAGATAAACATGGAAAAATACTTATAAAACCCTTTCCGCAGATGGCATCTGTGCAGTGATTCGTGGCTTTGTTGTGCATTCATAGGAGGACTAAGGGAAGAAGATTGATTTAAAGAAAATTTTACGGAAGATAATGAAGAAAATCTCACCTGTTAACAAGTCTGTAATAGCCAAGTTGAATATCAGAACATTGTAAGGCTTGGTTAACATTGATCGTCTTTTTAAGATAACAATGCATAGCAGGAGGTTGCCGATGAACGAAAATACAGCGATGAACCCGCAAACTGCAGTCACCACAAGGCTGTGTTCTTCTGATATTATTCCTCTCATGTCTGTCATGTCATTTGAATTTGATTCCTCGGGGATCATCGAGATGTTTGAACTAAAATTCATTTTGCCAACGTTGCACTGCAGTCTTGAGGCAGGGGAGCTATTTTTTTGATCATATAGGTTTCTATAATTAAGTTTGAGTGACACATCCTTTTTGAGAAAACAAAATTGCTGCATAGAGAAATTATATTCATCACACGATTGGTTAAATCCACCTGCTCTAGAAGACGGAACTATCATTGCTTGTTTGACCATTCCGTTTACTGTGCAAATATTCTTTCATTCATGTCTTAATTCTTGAATTTTACTCAGAATGGATAAACAGAATAGACTATTTTATAAAATTAGTTCGGATCTTCTCTCTCTTAAATTGCAGCTGGTTATTTCAAGCTCTTTTGTCCAAAAAACAACATGTTTGGTCTCTGAATTGCTTGATCATATTGGATGGTGTATTTTCTTGTTTCAACAAACTGGAAAGTGACGGACGTAACGTCAAGACGAGCAATAAGGTATCGCATTATCATTTTTTATTTTATTTTGGACACAAAGAAGTTTTAGGCTTGTTTTGACATAAACAGGCTTTAGGCTCGACAAGAACAATGCGTGAGTGAGGCTAGCGACCATCGCTCATAAAAATTTCAGGAAAATAACTCCTCATTATGACAATATTCAAATTCAGCAATACTCATCAATATTTAAATAACACGAGGCAATGTTAAGTTTTTGTGATGGCTTTAGGGTCCTTTAGCAAACCTATCCCGGATATAGTATATTAAAAAATTAGTTTTGCGGAGACCAGAAATCATGTTTTGCCTAATTAAAGTTGGATCAAATAAAAAAAGAAATATCTTGTTTTTCCGTTTGTTGACTTATGTGAATGGTCGTGTCGGTCAATAATAAAAGAATTCTGGGAAGCTATTGGTCTCAAAAAAAACACCGTAAGTAAAGTATGTCACCATCCCGAATCCAGAATTGAATTTTCTTCCAACCCGTAGCGCACAAAGGCTTACAATCAATATCAGTATGTCGTCTTCGCTTCAGCTGATGACAGAAGTCAACATTATACTGTCAAACTCTGTTCGAAAAATCAGATATAAAAAAATCGTATGTCGGCTTTGCTTTGCTTTGCTGTACCTGTTTCACTGATTAAAAAAAAAAAGACCTCTGAATGGAATTCAGAAACCAGGACGACTAAAATAAAAATTAAACCTCCCTGAGCTACTGAATTCGCACATAAAGCTTTCGTCTTGGAGGACTCCATGTTGTTCAGTTATACATGTATTACTATTTTGCAGTTGGTTTTAACAAAGAGCGATCATAAAGAAAACCACTCACAGAGAGAAAATGTTTGTTGCTGTTATTATTATCCATATCTACCTAAGGTTGTAAAGCGGGATAAAAGCAAAAAAACTCGTACATCTTTATTAAAAAAACCGCCCATTTTGTTTATGTGCAGGAGGACATGTCGCCACAATATTTTACACAGTAACAGAAGGTTGCTTTGATTTGTCGGGATGCTTCCCACGTAGTTTCTTTCATTTTTACTTTGTCTATCTCAAAATCCATTTAGGTTAATCGTAATGGTGGCTCATAAGTAACATAAACATTCAAGGCAACCAAATAGCTTAAACCGTAAACGTCTTATAACGTTAATGCAAGAAGCATGTTAATAAAGTACAACTTCAACAGTGCAACAACAAATGCAACAGTCAAGTTTTAAAAATTGTGTGATGGGTTTCACAGCCACTTTAAATTTTCAAAAGGTTAAGGTGACTCTAAATCCGCTCTTACAATTACTTTTAAACTTTGTGAAAAGTTCAATTTTGACATGGTTATTATTATTCAATAATAAAGAATGGGGTCGCCGAACTCGCTTTTAAGTTGTGAACATTTAAAGCTAAAATTAGGGGTGTTTTTAACAGGTTAGACTAACTAATTAACCAATGATTGGGCATTGGTTTTATGCAAGAACGGTAGTGTATTGATAAGCGCATAAACAAGAACCCATGCAGCAAATATGCGACATACATTTATACTCCAGTCTCCAGTCTATATATCCAGTTAACTTATTCTGGCTCATGTCACAGTAAAAGTACGGCAGATAATAAAGATGAAGGTTAATAATAAGTAAGAGAATAATAAATTTAAAAAGATACCTTGGAGTCCTTGTAAATTATTTACAATTGATTAACAAGGTGATAATTTAAATATTGCTGTTCCTTTGATGGTTTTCAAGTATCTCACAGCCATTGTTAATATAGCGAAACTGCAAAAGCACTCCACCGTCAAATTTCTCCGCAGGAAAATCTCTGCCTCTTCCATCCCATGACGAATCTTGGGCTAAGGTCGCAACCCTTCGTCTTCTCCAGTTAAAACAATTGAAAAGGGGACAAAGTATGGAGAGAAATCCTCTCCTGTATTGCTGATTGGTGTAGCAGTAAATTATTGGATTGGTACATGAATTAAACATGGCGAGAACTATTGTAAAGTGATGAAAAGGCGTCTCCAGTTTGACGAGTCCAAACGAGGACAGAACGTAATAGAGCTGATTTGGAAACCAGCACACTGTCAATATTAATGCTACTATAATACACATGCGTAGAAGTCTAAATCGTGTACGTGTAACGCGCTTGTTGTGTCTTCCAGGTAAAGACTTTAAGGATAAAGTGATATGCAAATATGTCACCCACATGACCACAGTTGGTATGAAAAATGTCACAACTGTGTACATTGTGATTATTAATTGTGCCGGGTAGTCCAGTGCAATCCAAATGCATCGATGGCTGTCTTCGTTGAGCGTCATTCCAAACGGCATAGCGACATGCGAGAGCAAGCAGATGAACCATATGATAGCAAGATAAGTGAAGACTCGTCGTCTTTTAAATTTCAACTTATATTTTATAGGTTTGACCACAGAATACCACCGTTCCAAAGCGAGGCTTGAGACTGAGAGGACAGAAACCTTCCCCAAAAGGAACACGAAGTACTGGGAACCAATGATTTTGCAAAAGATGACGCCGAAAATTCCTTTCGGAGCCTGGTACGAATTAAGGGCGATGAGGTAATTAGGTGTCACTCCAAGAAATATTCCTTCAAACACAAAACAGTAACTTGATTATATTAAATGCACGTGTCCGATACCTGTTATTAAGGGAAACACGTAATTCAATGACAAATATAAATAAACATGGTATGAAAAGCTACTTTCACTGCTTTACAGAAAAAGGATCCAAAAGTGAAAACTTCAAACTTAAAATTACCTGTTAGCAAATCTGTCACAGCTAGGCTAAATATCAGCAAGTTATAGGCTGACCTGAGCATCTTACGGTTTTTCAGTATAACAACACATAGAAGACCGTTGCTAACAAAAGCTTCTAACGCAATTATGCCAAACGCTACTCGTAGAAGATAGGAGTAGGCTAGAGGAGTAGAGGGCGTGGCTGGAGGACTCGTCACCGAGTTATTGGTGGAATTACTAGACATATTCCTTGGTGACATCTGAAATAACAATTTAAAAATGTAAAATATGTATATAGGCTTAATTATTTTATTTTAATTATTTTTAATATTGTTACGATTGTCACTATTTCTTTCTTTTTCAAATTTTAATTTTTTAGGCCCATTAGGTTATCAGTTTTATTACTGTCAAATGTTACCCTCGTAAAATAAAGTCTTACTTACTTACTTACTTACTTACTTACTTACTTACTTACTTACTTACTTACTACTTACTTACTATTATCTTGAAAATGTGGGGCGTATAACAAAACAAGGGTGTTTTTGATGTTCATCGTCTAAGTTCCAAGCTGGAAATAGCTTGGATTAGATTCAACGTGAGAGTAACGACTTTCTTTGATTCCGTCACCTGTTGGCCAACATACAATTATGTTGGGAGGAGAAATTGGATGTTTGCTGCCTCTGTCTCTGTCGGTAACTAAAAGAAACACTTGCCAATGGTTTGGCTTAATGAAGTATTATATCAAAATAAACAGAGTATCATAACAATATATATTTTACAAGCTATTGGTATAAAGAGTGCCTGGAACACCTCAAATAATAACATACTCGTTTTAATACTAAATTCAAAATTTTTCTGAGCTTCCGTAGCCTGATCTATCCGCTTTCGGTAGAGGCAACAATATTGCAAATATCCTTTGGAAGGGCGATGTACAGTTAGCTAACTTCTCAAGAGCATCCAAGATACATTTTACACAACTTTTGTAATATAAAAGGCAGCTTATTTCATTGTCAAATATCAATATAAGGTATAACCTTTCCGTTTTGTAATCACTTGTATAAGATTTGAGCTGGAATGCACGAAATCAAGTGCTTAATCTGGCTTGATTTTCAGGGTGAGCGGACATGGTGTCTGTTAGAAATTATATTTCAAAGGATCGATTGTTTTGTCGACGAGAGAGTTAGACCAAAAGAAAGCAATTAATATTAGAATATTTATAAGGGTAAAGGGCATTCAATCTGCCTGACTTTTTCCCGTGATAAGTGTCGGTTTGTGAAGTTGAAAGCAGTCGAAAAAGACCTTCAGAATAAAACATCACTTACCAAGTTATGGACACAGTTTATATAAGATAGTCCGACACACCGCAATAGCTTTTTAGGTATCAATGAAGTTATTGTTTTCCAGCTTTTTGTGTAGAGTAAAGATTTACGAGGGAAGGTATGTTAATCTGCCTCGAGTACTATTCATTGGTAATTAGTTTAGAATTCCGCCTCTGGAAAATAATGTTTTCAACCGTCAAAAACCGATACACAACAAACACCGTCGCTGACCAAATTTCATCTCCTCGAATAAGACGTTTTTTTGTTTACACAGAGTTTCAGAAAAGGAAGCTGGCACTCATTTTACACTTTGTTATGCTAATTTTCTTGGAAAGAAATCATAACAAACCTTTCGTTGATACCGAAATTACAAAAGTAATTTCGAGGTCGGTGTTACCTCCAAGATGGTACCTATCAACGGGACCTATTTTTCCTCTTTGGTGATTGCCAACGACTTGACAAAGGAATATTTTTTCTGTTAACACGAATGAATGCACGGGGTAGCCATAGCCAACTTTGTATTTGCTGTAATTACTAACCTACTACTCAGCAGCCTACGGGCTCAGCATACAGCTTGTTAGGTTGTTTTCAGTCCTTTTATTCTACTTGCATGTTCACTGATGTTTCTTGAATACATGAAGTGATCGTTTTATTTGTTATACATTATTTTGATATCATCGAGCAAAGCCAATTTGTTTTATTCCTGTTATCTAAATCTTAGAATTTTATTTTATTAAGTGTAATGAAATATCGTATTGGTGACAAAGTGTGCAATCCAGGGATTGAATCCATTGTGAAACGCAACCAGTTATCTTTTGTGGCCGACACACTAAGGAATTATTCTGTTGTGCATGAAATTAAATAATTCACACTTGTTGTCGACCTAAAAACAATAAAGCTTCAAACGGAAGATCATGCACTTAGAAAACCAGCAGGTAATGAATGTACGATTCAGAAGAGAGACATTTGCAACGTACTTTAATCATAAATAATTATTAGCCAGGCGGCAATACACTAATCAGGCAATTTACTTTATATCAAGATGAAACATTTTTTAAATTGCATTCGAAATGTGGTTAAGACGAACAAACCCCCTCTCTCGTTCCTTTTTTTTTAATTCTTATCTATTTTAATACGTTTTGAATTTTTAGCAACCATAGTAATATTAAGACTTTTAGGGTTAGTTTTAATTTTTTATGATGTCAAGCGCACTTGATCATTTCGTGGAAAGTCGCGCTATAAGACATTTATGATATATTTTTTTTCCTCATAAGAATGTCTGAATGACTCTGAGATTCTGCTGGTGACATAGATCTAGAGACATGCTTCCACTGTTTGAGATTGGGACAGATTAGCTGTTTTAAGTTTTCATAATCCCATATTTTCACTGGCAACTCCTAGCACGGGTTATATCTATACAATGACCAATGGTATTTTCAGCACCTTAATTAATGTTACTGGCTAGATCAACTATAATTTTTGTTTGATTTGATTTTCTTCTCTATCGGCAGATAATTTCTCAACAAGGAATTCTAGTTAAGAAAATACTCTTTTTACTCGCGGTAACCAGTTTATTTTGTCCTGCTAAGTAATGAATAACCGAACGGAACAGAACAAGGACAGTCGGTGATGAATCTCAAATCACTCGCTTTACTCAGTGGGAAATGCTTGGAAGAGCAAAAAAACATTGTTCAAAAAGCATTAGTCTGATATAGACAAACTAGGCCAGGGACTGAGTTCTTGTGATTGCACAATAACAAGCTGATGACTTAAAATCTCAATTGCTCGGATCCCATCAGTTAGGATTATTATCCATTGTTTATTTTAGTGGTCAAAGTATTCTCCAGGTCCCCTCTTAGAATCGTAGCATCAATTCTTGACACAAGACCAACAGATCCTTCTACATCGAGAGCAAATGCACTGTGATAATATTTATCATAGTCCACATTGTCTTTCATCCTCCTTCAGATCCGACCAGAGTCTTAAGTTGTTACTGATCATTAACATGATACTGGATCCTATTTCTAGTGAGAAAATTCACAACATATCTCTTTCCCCATTCCCATCGCTCTCGAAATGCAGACTGGCTAGTAGGCTAAACGGATGAATTCCACTAACACTCGCCTGTACTTTCTGCTCGATAGAACATAAATCCAAGGGTTTACAAACGAATTTGCCAGCGCAAGCGCCACGGTGAAGTCTCGAAAGGGAGTGCCAAAGTTTAGAATGGGGAAGCCATACTGATTCAGAACGTAGGAGACTTCTGTGGGAAACCAACACACTGTCAGCGTTGCGGATGTGATTGCACACATTCTATGTAACAGACGTTTTTCTATTTTACCTCGATTTTGTCGTAGGACGCTTAACTTGTTTATTCTAACAAATATGTGAAGGAAGGCGGCCCAAGTAATGGCCGTAGGAAGGAAATATGTGAACGAAACATAGAGAATAATAACTGCAGTCTCCACGCTTTTCTCGAGAGGCAAAGAAATGAAGTAACATGAATGCTGAAAATATCTCACGTAAAATAGCTTATAACATTGCAGGCCAAGGCAAATAAGCCAAATACATCCAATGTATTTGTAGAGTTTCCGCTGAGAGAAGGTCGTTTGATAATTCCAAGGTTTAATAAGAACATACCACCGTTCAACAGCAAGACATGCGATGGTCAGGACAGAGCCTTTCCCAAATGTAAAAATGAAGAACTTAGAAAATAACACTCGGCAGAAGATCTCGCCCGCCATACCTCCTGGTACTTGATACGAGGACATATTTATGACGTAGTTTGGGGTAATAATTATAAATAGACCTGAAAGATAAAGGAGATGGCGATTATGCAAAGTTTCGTTGAGATCTTAAGTAAACAGATTACGCTCACGATGTTCAAAATTAACTTTAAAATTAAATGACATTGGGAAGATCTATCGGATTAATAGAAACGGAGTTGAAAAAAGTTGACTATGTTTGTCAAAAAGGCCATTCCTACCCTGTTTTCTTTACTCCTTTATAACTCTGGTTTCCGAAACATAAGGTAACTACAAGAAGCGCAAGTCTCTTTCGAAGAGAAACCCCGGCTCAGCATGCTGCTAGATGCTCTACGAATTAACCGGGTCCTACAGGACTGTTCATAACATTGACTATTTCTGGATTATCTTTTCTTACCCGTGAGCGTATCAGCGATAGCTAAGCTGTATATCAGTAAGTCGTGAGGGGTCTTAAGATTCTTTCGGTTTCTTTTCATTGCCAAACAAAACACCAAGTTACTGGTGAAAGCGAGCACTGAAATTATACCGTAAACCATATTAAAAATGGTTCCTCCCTCGGCGATTCCTTTATCCTTGCTTGACATGCAATATCTGTCGGTGTGGTTGTTGTCGTGAACAGAAAGTGTATAGTTTGACATTTTGCTGAACTTCCCTCTTCTGCCATGAAAGATACTTTCCTTTTTCACTAAATATATTAAATGCGCATAATGAAAGGCATGTATTTAAAGGAGTGAGGCAATTTTCATTATAGACGCACAACACGACAAAAATCAATGTAAAACCGGTGGGTTGAAGCTAGTAAACAGGAACTGCAAGACACATTATTCACTGTAAGAACTAAAAGGCCATTGACGTATGTAACACACTTGTAACACTATTTGGTTAATATGTCTGGTATTGCACATATCGGAGATAACATCTACAGGGTGCTTCTGATATTTTTACAGTTCAGTGCACTCTTCATCTCTTAACTCTTTATGTTACTGGCAGGATTTTTCTACTTAGAAAATGAATACGTGATGAACATCAATTGTTAAATTCTTTACGTAACATAGTTAACATAAACAACGCTTATTTCATGATTCATTTGAATATCAACTTTTGATAATGTCATTTAAATCTCCTTTTATTTTTAATAGAAAAAGTGAGCTAACTAATTTGTGAATCGTGGCTGGTAACTGTAAAATTAAATTTACATTTTGCATTGAAGCTTTAAGAATAGTTAATCTTTTAGCTCAAGTGCTGTGGCTCAAAGTTTTGCAATAGTGACAAATTGTAATTTTCAAAGCGTCAATAGCACTATAATTGATTTCAATACGCTCTTTTAATTTTGAGAGAGAAAGTAAACGGAAGCGCTAAAACCAAAACAAAAACAGCCGTCTCACTTGGACTATTAAAAAATGGGAAAATATTTCAAAGGAAAAAAATCTGTAGATTCAGAAACTTTAACAAATATTTGAAAGTTCAAACTTTGAAACTTTTTCTTTCGAAAATTTAAGGTGGCTCTGAACACCATGCACAGAATTTTGAAAGAAGTTGCCTCTTATCCTGCTTATAAAAATTTGATAATGCGATGATTGCAACGTGATAAAGGGTGGCTATAATCATTAATCGAAATCCAAGTCTTGGAAAGTGCTGGAAACTGTTGCAGCCACGTTTAAATTTCTCTGGTATTGTCAGTCTATGATTTCTTCGATCTGTGGTTAATTCTCTTGCCATTATGGGGCTATCTGAGTGCTACTTTCAGAATAATAGCTGCCGAGAGGAATCTCTCCATGAAAGAACACGAATGAACATTGTTATATGCTCGCTTCAGCCCGCCTTGAGACCACTCGATCACTTAGCACCTCTTCTGTTTGACTGGCTTCAGAGCAAGCGGTGTTGCTCAAATAAGTCTCGGCCGACAAGCTTAAACTTGAGTCCTCTGGCGCCCGACGTACTCTAAGAACATATGGACCATCAACCAGATTGCCAGTTGAGCGTCTTTGGTCAGGATCACCTGAAAATGAATATCTTAATTTCCTGTTTGGCACCAAACCAAAGCACAAACTACCGATTCTGGAGTTTGTCATGTTAAATTTCACGCAGCAGAGAAGTCGGACAAATTCTCTTCTGTATTCCCTGTTACTGAGGCAATAAATCCACGGATTGAAGCAGGAGTTAGACATTGCCAAAATACTTGTAAATAAGTAGAATTCAAAAGGAAGCTTCAAAATGTCAAACTTATACAGGATGAAAAAAGTTTCCGCTGGAAACCAAGATAATGTTAAGAAGAAGGCTGCCAAGGCGCACATGCGCAATAGGCGTTTGGTGGCTTTGTTGTTGTTCAGATGACGACGAATGTTAGGCTGGCGCATGTGCGTCCAGATTTGTCCAAAGGTCACCCAGGTAACGATACTTGGTATGTAGAACGTGACGATCACGTGAATTAGAATAAGGATCCGTTCAGCCTTTTCTCCATAAAATGGCGTGACGAATGTGCAAAGGCCATCTTCTACTGCAGTGATAAAGAGTTCATTGATCTGAGTTATGGCGGCAGAGGCCCAGATCAAAGTAATGTAAAGATACAAACGTCGTTTGCTGAAGGCTGTTTTGTAGCGTATCGGCTTTACAATCGAGTACCAACGATCTATAGCCAGGCACATGATCGTGGAAGTTGAAGCTTTGCCAAAAATGAAAAGGATGTAGGTTGAGCCAATTAAACGACAGTAAATCTCTCCTGCCAGCCCGTGGGGGTAAGGGAAGGTTTTTCTGTCGATTACGTAATCTGGTGTGACAACAAGGAATATTCCTGTTAAATTTAAGAAAGGAAAAAAATAATTATTTTATTTTCAGACA